ATTTATAAATTGTAATTATGACGCAGCACATAATCAACTGAATTATGATTGTTGAATCAAATTTTTTAAATAATTCTTTTTTTTATTTAATTAATTAATTTTTCAGATAGGTTTTTGTTACAAGGTGCATGTTCTCACCAGACAGACAATGAAAGGGAAGATGAGAAATCACTGGGAGAATTGCCACGCCACAATCCCTTCTCCTCCATTTTCCTCTCAGGATTTTGGGCACACACACACATGTGCCCGGCATGAATTTCGAGCCACAGGGTATGGGCTTTGAACTGCAGTCGGCCATGTGGAAGTCCAGCGCCTTGACAACTTGCTTGCGTCCTTATTCCTTATTTTTAGAAAATACACTCTGAAGAATCTCGAGACCAAAGGGGATCATGCTACAAGTTATTTTTAAACAGTTGGGGAAAATATGTTCTGTAGCTACATGTGCCTGTGTGCACATAAATACATGAACGCATATACATGTACCTACTGAGGGAAAGAAGGCCAAAAATATACCAAATGTAGGAAACTGGTAACAAGTTACAAAGGATATCTTTTAAATGGTCTGTAAGTCTGAAATTGCGTAACAGTGTTTTAAATTTTAAAAGGGAAAAAACCTCCAAGTTTATCAGAAAATAACATTCGTAGAACTGTAGGTAGTCTCTATAAATGAAACTATCGAGTTACAGCAGATTTCCACAGCAGGGGTGACTTCTTGCATGGTATTTTTAGTATTAGCTTTATATTGATAATTAATAATATAGGGGACCAGCAGGTGGCATGGTGGTTAAGGCACTGGACACTCCCATATGGCCAACCAGGGTTTGAGTTCTGGACCTGGGTGGCTTGCTTTCTCACTTTCCCTCTCTCTCTCTTTCTCTCTCTCTGGTCAAATTAAAAAATATGCAAATGAATAAATAAAATTAAATTTAAAAATAAAATAAATTAGTAATGTAAACATTTATTACTAACCATATAAAACAAACATGATGTAGCTAAAATATAGTTACATGTTTGTTTTACTAATTTTATTTTTAAATTATAGATTGGAGATAAATAAAGAAGCCAGTTTCAAAATATCTGTCATTTCTTTTTGTCTTGCACAGTATTTCTTTCCTGTAGTCTCATGTCTATAGGAATGAAGCAAATCTTGGTCATTAAAAATGTATTAGAGAGGCCAGAGGTGATATGGTGGTTAGGGTGTGGGACTCCCACATGGCTGACTGCAGTTCAAGTCCCAGACCCAGCAGCTTGAAATCTAAGCCAGTGGATGTGCGTGCGTGCCCAAAACCCCAGGAGGAGAATGGAGGAGAAGGGACTGAGGTGTGGCCATCCCCGGGGAGGTGATTTCTCACTTTCCATCTCACTGTCTCTCTCTGGTGAACTCACACACTCTATGCCAAAAACCTTAAAAAAAGAAAAAAGAAGGAAGGAACAAAAGGAGGGAAAGAAAGAAAGGAAGGGAGGGAGGGAGGAAGGAAGGAAGGAAGGGAGGGAAAGAAAGAGAGAGAGAGAGAGAAAGAAAGAAAAGGAAGAGAAAGAAAGAAAAAGAAAATGTATTAGAAATAACAGATTGGGAGATAATTACTTCTTTGCTGAAGGAATTTTTTTAATCTTTCTAAAAAGAAAAAAAAGTATACATTTCCACCAAGAATGACTAAGTTTACGGATACATTTAAAGTACGGCTCCTCTACCACCTGCTCTCAGTCCGCAGTCAGAGGCTCAGGGAGGACTGAGGCTGTGTCCCGAACCCGCTGTGTGGATGGAGACCGGCTTCGGGAGTGATGGCGGGAGGCAGTTAGGACAGTGCTGGGCTAGTGCCCCGACTTGGGTGACCTGGGAGTGGGTGTCTGGGGTTCCGTACTTCGTACTTTGTACTAGAACCAGGAGTCTCAGTGGTTCTCAATCCAGGACAGTCCCTAAGGACATTTGGAGACACGCAGGGGCCGGGGGGGGGGCATTCAGTAAAGGCAGGGATTCCCCCTCCCGCAGAGCAGGCCTTACAAGAGCATTTTGCACTCAGGACCGCGAGTGCCCCTTGTGATCTCTCCCACCGCTGGGTCACGCCTGTGCTGCCCCCGTGGTGCCTCTGTCTGTTCAGGGCTGCCCTGAGAGTCCTCATGCTGCAGTAGGTGGCCGGCTGGTGGCAGCGCTCACTGCTCCCTGGCTCTGCCTATTTTGTCCAGGAAGGCTCCAAGATGCCCGTGGGCAGTTGGTCACTTGGCTTGCACCCTGGCCCTCTCGCCACCAGTGCCCCACGCCTGAGCTTCAGGTCTGTGATAAACATTCACCAGAACCTGCTCCTTCTCATGTGATTTGAGATGTTTCGGGCTTTGAGTCAGGGCAGGAATGGCAGTGAGGACCGCAGAGCTTTCTGCTGGGTGAGAGGTCTGCGTCCTCCCCTATTCGTTCCTTTTCTTCTAGAGTCAGGGCAAGAACGAAAGGCAGGAAGCAACTTGTTGCTTAGCTTTTTCATGCCCCTCTGGAATCTTTCTATAAAGTCTTTATATGTAATGAAGGTGATTTTTAATGACCTTTTATTAGGACAAGGAAGAGTCTACCCTGACTTTTTCCAGTGGAAGTTATATCACACCCTATGCGTGAATGTTTTTATACTCACCCAGTTGAGACCGTCTGGAGGGGACAAACGCTGTCCTTGTGCTACTCAGGACCCTGCCCATACGCTCTGTTTCTCAGTGGCTTTGAGAGGCGGGTTCAAGACATACCTTTCAGGGCAGCCCTTGCAATGTGAGCAGTCAATCTTATGAAAAATGCGACCCTATTCTCCTCTTTGGGGTTTAAATAATTAATTGAAACGTGTTGGTTTATATCAGCCTTGAAAATGTTTTCACGATCTGTACTACCAGCCGTGACAGTTTTTATTACCGACATCCCACCAGGGCTAATTGGTGAACTGGGAGGGGATCAGCCATGCTTCCGCGGGTGAGGCCGGGTAGCGGGTTGCAGCGCTATGATGACGGCAGAGCAGGAGCATCACTAGCGGCAGTGAGAGCCCACGCACAGGCACGCCGCTGCCTCCAGCTACTCTGGTCTTGGGGAGGCCAGCCGAGAGAGACTTTTTGGAAGTCTTTAGAGTGAGAAACTTTATCTGAAGCCAGCTACCTCACAAAAAAACAAACTAACGTTTTAAGGTGGATGTCATTTAAATCTAAGCAAAAACATGGCTTATAGCTCTGAGCACAAAGGGCAATATAAAACTTGTGTGTGTGTGTGTGTGTGTGTGTATTTTGATTGTTACCGAAAATGATCACTTAAAAAAAATTGAGGGGCCCGCAGGTAGCATAGTGGTTAATGCGCTGGACGTGGTCAACTGCAATTCAAGTCCTGGACCTGGCAACTTGAGACTTAGGCCAGGTGCATGTGGGTGTATGCCCAGGATCCCAAGAGGAGAATGGAGAAAAATGCCCCCTGGGGGTTGATTTCTGTCTCTGTGGTGAGTGCTCATGCCCTGTAACAAAAATCTCTCTGGAAAAAAAAAAATAAAAGGAAACCGTTGAAAATTAAATTCATACCCTCTTTCACTGTGGTTCTCTTTTGACTCAGCCTTTGAAAATTCCATTGGCCCCAGGCAATCCAGCCCCCCTTGCCTTTCCACTCCCTCCTGAGTCCTTGGTAACAGCCACTCAGATGAGCCGTTGCGAATTTATAGGCGTGAAGAGGCCAGGAGAAGGTAGATCTTTATTCTCCAGCTTCGGCCATCTGAGTGACACCACTGTGGCCAGGGTCACATGACAGCTGCCCGGCCTCAGCTACTCATTGTTCTGGCTGTCCGGAGCTGCCAGAGGGTACGGAACATTGCTTTGTCCATCCTCCCCCCACATGACAGCAAGGAGACCAGAGTTAGCATGTGCTGCCAGGAGAGCCCAGGAGGGAGGCGAGGGCCTGTGTTAATCCACACCGTGGTTCCTTGAGTGCCGTGTTAGGTACGGTGAGCCACCACCAGGTGATAGGCTGAGGTGGGAAAGGTGAGGGGTTCGTAGTACTAGTCTCCACCTTTACAAATGTTTCCATAATAAAAGTTTTCCCTAATAAAATCTTTGTTAAACCTAACGAAGTTAAAAACAGATATTGGGAGGGCTGGCCCAGTAACCTAGTGGTTAAGGGAGCCAGATCCCACATGGACAAGTGCAGTTTAAATCCCAGCCTTAGTGGCTTGAAAAAAACACCAGGCATGTGTGAATGTGTGTCCAAATCCTCAACAGAATAGAGAAACGGAGGAGGAGGGGTTATGGCGTGACCATGCCCCACTGGGGGTGCCATTTTCCTTTCTCTCTCTCTCTCTCTCTCTCTCTGGCGAGCAAGCACATGCACCATCCGATCATTAAACAAACAGGTCTTGGTATATCTGCTTAAAAACATTGTGTTAGAGGGTCGGCTCGTGGCCTGGTGGTTAAGAGTGCTAGATTCCACATGGCCAACGGCACAACTGGAGTCTCAGAGCCAGTGTGAAAGCATGTCAGGCACATGTGGGTGCCCACGCTCCCCACAGGAGGGACACATGTAGGAGGAAGGATTGTGGCGTGACCATGCCCGAGGGAAGATACTTCCTCCCTTTCCCTGTCCCTCTGGCTGGTACACGTGCCCTCTGACAAAATTTGCGAGAGATCTTGCTAATCAGACCTTTCTCAGCTTCTCAGGGAAGCAGGACCCTTTCCATACCCCATGTGCTTTTACTTACTAGTAAACGCACGGCATCTGTGTGTCAGCGCATGCATGTGTGTGTGTGAGAGTGCACGTCTCTGTCCAGTATGAGTGTGTGTGTGTCTATGGGTGTATCTCTGTGGGCACACATGTTTACCCATGTGGCATGTGCCTTCCCTACTAGAAAACAATCTCCAGCAGAGCAGGTATTTCGTCAGCTTCATCAATCACTGATGCGTGGGAACCAAGGACAGAAGTTTGAGTTCCGTAAACAGATGTTGTACGAGTGAATAAAACAAATGCATAGCCTCTAAATATTGGACTTTATTTTTGTTTTTAGTTGCAGAATTAAGAAAAATCTTTGAACCAAAGAGGAAAGATTTCTTAGAAATGAAAAGGTAAGATGTTACGGTGCGTATTGGGAAGTAGGAGAGCTTGGTAAAACCGATCTCAGTTTTCCCTTAGAAGTGATCTCTTACAGGACCAGCAGTTGGTATAATGGCTATGTCGTTGGACTCCCATGTAGTCGACAGCAGTTCAAGTCCCGGACCTGGTGACTTAAACTCACACCAGGCGCATGGGCATGCGTGCCCAAGATCCTGAGAGGAGAATGGAGGAGAAGGGATTGTGGCGTAGCAACGGGGGGGGATTTCCTGTTTTCTGCCTCTCTGTCTTTCTGACAAATGCACGCATCCTATAGCAAAAGCCTCTCAAAAAAAAAAAAAAGAAAGAAAAAAAAAAGAAAAGAAAGAAGGAAAAAGAATTGATCTCTTACTCTGCCTTTTTGGTATCGCACACAGAAAAGAAAGAATTGCGAGGCGCTTGGAAGGAATCGAAAATGACACCCAGCCTATCCTCCTGCAGAGCTGCCCGGGGTTGGTGACTCACCGCCTGCTGGAGGAGGACACGCCCAGGTACATGCGTGCCACTGATCCGGCTAGCCCCCACACAGGTGAGCCTGCACACTGCCCGCCTACGTCACTGGCACTGGGCCCGCACGTGTCACTTTTCATCGTGTTTGAAAATGACATATTCCACAATAGTGAATTGCCTCCATACAACTTTTTTTCAAAGCATGCCTTTGTTAAAAGCAGCAATCACCAGGACCAGCAGGTGGCATAATGGTTATGTCACTGGACTTCCACATAGTCCACCACTGTTCAAGTCCCAGACCTGGTGACTTGAAACTTGTGCATGCCTGCTGGTCATGTGTGTGTTCAGAGTCCAGAGAGTAGAATGGAGAAGGGGTTGCAGCGTGACCATCCCTCCTCAGGGGTGATTTCTCCTTTTCTGTCTCTCTGTCTCTCCGAGCACAAATTTGTGAAAGAAAAAAATCAAAAAAAAAAAAAAAAAAAAAAAAAAAAAAAAAAAAAAACAGAATAACGATGTACTACACAATACCAAATTGCATGGATACAACTTTTTATCAAATCAGTCCTTTGTTAAAAGCATCAACAACCAGGACCAGTAGATAGGATAATGGTTATGTGTCTGGACTCCCATGTAGTTGATCACAGTTCGAGTCCCGGACCTGGTGGCTTAAAACACATGCCAGTCATGTGTGCATGTGTGCCCAGATTTGAGAGGAGAATGGAGGAGAAGGGATTGCAGCATGGCTATCCCCCCTGGGGGATGATTTCTCACTTTCTCTGTCTCTCCAGCTAGCACACGCTCCATATAGCAAAAATCTTTCTCTAAAAAAAAAAAACAACTGGAAACAACCCATGTGTCAGCTCCGCCCTGCCTCACGGTCTCTTGACTTCATATGATTTGACTTATCAGCCCATCCAGTGGCAGCCTTCTGAGCGTGTGTGCGTGTGTACGTGTGCACACACTTACTTATTGGCATGTGCCCTTCCTTCTAGAAAACAAGCTCCAAGAAAGCGAGCACTGGTCATTCATAGATCACTGTAGGTCTTGTGAGCTCACAGCATGAGGAAATGATTTTCCCTAATGCAGTGCTGGGTAACCAAAAAAAACTGCTAAACGGGATCCCCTCAAGGCAGGAACAGTCAATCCTGCCACCCCTGCTGTCAGAAACCCTCAGCACACGTGTGTTTGGTAAAGGAATGCATGGGACCAGTGCCTGGCCACGCTCCCAGTAGGCATACACTAAGAGCCCAGGTCAGGGACAGCTGCCGGCAGCAGAGAGAGGTAAAGGCAATGTTGGACCTGGACTGATTAGGGTTTCTGCTCTTTATTCTGAGTAGATTATTTTCATTTTGTCATTTTAAGTGAGTTGTAATTTGTTTAATACTAAGCACATTACTCAGAGTCACTATTAGGGCATCTGATGTTCAACTCCATCTTAGACGAGGATGGTGACACAGGGCTGCCCCACCTGTCCCCAGTCTCTGGCTTGAAGCGCTGTGCTGCTTTTATACCCAGCACATTCTATTCCTTCCTCAGAGAGGGCTATTGATCTCATTGATAACTGATGTTATCATCTACCTGTCTGCACGGTTTCTAATTTTCTGTGGCCATAAAACTAGAGAATTAAGATTTTTTTTTACAGGGGTTTTTGGCATAGGGTGCATGTACTTGCCGAAGAGAAAGAAAGACAGAGACAATAAGAGAGAAAGTGAGAAATCACCCCCCCCAAAGGGGATAACCACCCCACAATCCCTTCTCCTCCCAGGATCTTAGGCATGCACGCCCCGTGTGATTTTGAAGCTGCTGGGTCTGGGACTCGAACTGCAGTCAACCATGTTGGAGTCCAGTCCACTATGTCATCCGCTGGCCCCAATAACTAAGACTAAAAAAAAAAAAAATACATACATAAACAATCAAGAATAGACAGATGAGAGTACCAGAATTTTTTTTTTTTGAGAGGTTTTTGCTATAGGGTGCGTGCACTTGCCAGACAGATAGAGAGACATAGAGATAGAAAGCGAGAAATCACCCCTCAGGGGGATGGCCATGCCGCAATCCCTTCTCCTCCATTCTCCTCTCGGGATCTTGGGCACGTACGCACACGCGCCCAGCGTGAGTTTAAGCCACCAGGTCCAGGACTCGAACCACAGTCAACTACATGGGAGTCCAGCGACATAGCCATTACGCTAACTGCTGGTCCCTGAGAGTACCAGAATTTGTAGCCATAAGTAAACCCTAGCTTATATAAAACAGGAATCTATTTAGTATATGATAATTTAAGCATCACATTTGGTAATAAAAGGAAGACTTATTTAATAAAATAGTATTGGGAAAATGGGTCCACCAGGGGGCGAAGGAGGGAATGTATATATTCCTCTTTTTACTTCTTACCCTTAAAATAAATTCCATTTATGCACATAACTAATTTAAAGAACATAACTGAAAACATAGGTGAAAATTTAATTCAAGTGGAATAGAAAAGAAAATTCAAAGCATAGAAACTGCTGAAGACACCACTAAAATGACCAGGTGGGTTGAGTTGCCTGCCTACTAATTAATGTCAGTACTTCAAAGGAACTTAGGGACACAGAGACTTCACAGCAAAGTTTAACTCTAGGTAGGTTCGAAAGTGTTTCTGAAGACATAGGGCAGATATTCTTATGAAAGTTCACACACCCATTAAAAACAACACCATGCGTCAATAGAATATAAAGCAATCCCGCCTGAGCAGGGATTCCAGAGAAGAGAATACGAACTACTGACAAACCAATGAGAACATGCATTACTCCCTTGTAGAGTGATCAAAGGCAAAATTTTACAATAGTGAACACGTTTGTGAGGGAGCACATATTAATGAATATCATAGAAATGGATAAATCAACAAAGACTTTATAGAAATTAATTTCACAGTCTAGCAAGTGTCTTAAAATGATGATGTACCCTTTGATAAAGCAACAGTATTTTTACAGGAAATTATGATAGTTATTGGAAAGTCAGACTGTTTAGAAAGCGTAAATACTCAGCAGTATGGGCAGAGTTCAATTAGTTGTGGAATTGCTGTAAGATAGAAGATTATAAAGCCTTTAAAAATTAGGCCCATGGCCTAATTAAGGGATCTGGATCCCATATGACCTACTGGGATTCAAATCCTGGTCATGGCGTCTTGAAAAATAAAGTCTTAATAGAACAGAGAAATGCAAGAGAAGGGATGTGGCCTGACCACACCCCACTGGGGATTGCTTTTTCCTTGTCTCTCTCTGGTGAGCAAACACACTCTGGCAATAAGCATAAAAGAAAGAAAACAGAAAGGTGTCTTCAAAATAAAACTTTGAAATACAGTATCAGAAAACATTTTATACAGAATATTAATGGCATTAAATACTTTATGTATTTATAAAATAGGAGAGAAAAGAGGAAATCACTTATAAAAAAAGCAGAAGGGATATATAAACATGTCAAGCTAAGAGTATATATTAATACATGATTATTGGGAACTTGAATGTTTACATTCCTATGTTTTTATGGTTGACATTTTCCACATCGGGCATGTGTGGTACAATTAGAAAACAAGCAAACAAACAAACACTCTTGTTAAGAAAAAACAAAAAAGCAAGGAGAACAAACAGAAACAGAAAGCCTGGTGAATGTTGCTATGGGCTGTCTTGATGTCGCTTTGGGTACTATCAGATCTTGTGAAAACACAACCTGTCACTTGTCAAATTACAGCAATTCTGATACCTGCTCTCTTTTCTAGAAAACTTTGAACCCATTCTCACATGTGAAATGTTAAACTCAAAAACAAAAAGAAAGTAAATACACCAGGGAGATAAGCCCTGAGCAAGGATAAGGCCCTCTGCGGAGTCCAGGGGCTGAGCTGGGTGGAAGCCACGCGGAGCGCAGAGAGCGCTCCCAGCCTCATTCCTGAGTGACTGCGGAATCCCGAATCGCGCAGACTTCCCAGCAGCCCAGGTGCCGCTTCTTGGCTAAACACAGACATGAGGAACTGGTGCCCGTGTGTGCACCCTGCAGGAGAGTGACTTCCTGTGGGTAAATGTGCCCATGTGTGTCCTTGCTTGGAATCCATATGCATTATCTATATAATTTTTTTTTGGAGAGGTTTTTGCTATAGGGTGCATGCGCTCGCCAGACAGAGAGAGACAGAGAGACAGAAAGCGAGAAATCACCCCCCAGGGGGGATGGTCACGCCGCAATCCCTTCTCCATTCTCCTCTCAGGATCTTGTGCACGCACGCACATGCGCCCGGCATGAGTTTAAGCCACCGGGTGTGAGACTGGAATCGCAGTCGACTACATGGGAGTCCAGCGACATAGCCATTACGCTAACTGCTGGTCCGTATATGATCTTCTTGTAGGCCGATCGAATGAAGAGGAGGAAACTTCCGATTCTTCTTCGGAAAAGCAGAGTCGCCCTAAATACTGCACGGAAACCTCAGGCGTGCATGGTGATCCGTCCTATAGCTCGGGCACCATGGACGCTCACGGTCTGGAGTCCAAAGCGGAACGAATCGCAAGATACAAAGCAGAACGCAGGCGACAGCTGGCAGAAAAATACGGGCTCACTCTAGATCTGGACGCAGACTCCGAATATTCATCTCGGTATACCAAGTCCAGGAGGGATCCCGACACCGTGGAGAAAAGGGGAGGGAAGAGCGACAGACCAGAGGAGGCAAGCAGAGATCCGAGTTCTCCGTATGCCAGGACCGAGGCCAGGGCGCTCAGGACCTGTGCCCTTGACCCCAAGGACTATGCCCCCCAGGGCAGCGAGGACACCTCGGACAAGGAGGTGCTGCTCAACGTGGAGAACCAAAGACGCGCGCAGGAGCAGAGCGCCGCCCGGGTGGCCCGCGACCTGCCTGCCCCGGTGGAGAGTTCCCTGTCCTTCTCGTTCTCCGGGCGAGACTCGTCCTTCACTGAAGTGCCAAGATCCCCGAAGCAGCCAGCCTCCCCCAGCCACTCGGCCGGGGACCCGCCATTACCCTCCGAGTCGCGATCCAGGTAAGCCTGCAGCCCTCCATGATGGCGAGCACAGGTATCTCCTCCTCGCAGCACTGAGTGGTGGCGTTGGGGACTGTCAGCGTGGAGGTCGGAGCTCAGTGGGGAAGTGATGCGACTCCGCACTTTCAGAACTGGTCCTCCCAAAGCGGAAAAGAAGCCTCCTGGTTCTTTTTTTTTTTTTTTTTCTTAAGTATTCATTTTTCTTTACTCTAGGTAGAGCATAAGCACATAGGAGAGAGAGAGAACAACACCTTGCACAGGATCTGGGCACGCCCGTCTCCAGCCCGCCAGCTGTCAGGCCCGCTGGCTCTTGTGCATGTCCAGTGTGCTTCAGGGCCTCTGGACCCAGATTCTGATTGGTGGCCCCTGTCGGGTCTGACTGGCTTCTCTGGAGCTGTGCCCTGCCACCAGCCAGGATCCCACCCCCTTGATCCAGCAATTCCACTCCTGGGTATCTACCCAAAGGACAGGAGAGCACTCAGTCGGAAAAGCGCTTGCACAACTATTTTCATTGCAGCATTATTCACAGTACTTTTGCTTGTATTTCTTAGGTTCTTTTTTAAGACACACCCCTCAATGCGATGGGGAGACTTTTTAATGAAAGCTTCAGGAGCCTTCTTTTGATTGTATTGCTCACCTGCCTTTCATAATTTGTTTTTCTGTATTCAAACCCAACTTAGGATTTTTGGTAACTGCTTTTGCCACTGCTGCGTAGAATCACAAAGCAGCAGGTGCACCAGTGGAAAGATCTCAGGGTAGGTAACAGAAATATGTCTGTACCATGCACAGACTATAATGAGGTAGTTACCTAAGCACAGTCTCAATCCTCCGAGACCTGGCGGTGTAAGGGCAACTCATTAAAAAGGTCAGCTACTGGTAAGGGGCTCAACTAAAAACGAGAAACAGCTCCATTTGGGAATCAAAGCTGAGTACCCAAAGAGAATGTGTTTATTTCTAAGTTGAAATTGAAAAGGCATGATGACCATATTTAAAGTGTGATTTACTTCAACGTCCTGGCTCCAGGTTTGGCTGGCCATCTTAGGGAGACTCCCAAGCGTGTTCTCCAATTCAAACACGCAATAGCTTCACCAGTGAATTGAGAAGGGATGACAGCCTAAGGCCAAGCGAATTTATTTAGAAAGAAATACAGTTTTTTGGAAATGCCCCGATTCGTTCCACACTGAGACAGAGTGCTGAACAGCTGGTCATCTTTAAGTGGCAATAATTCTTCTGAAACAGATCATTTTATTATTGAAGTTTACCAAGCCAAAAGACCTGTCGCCACTTACTTGGTCATGCGGAGTAAAATCCAAGGAGACTTCAATGAGTTCGTGGGAAAAAATATGGAATTTAAGTACCTGTTAGGCAAGCCCCATAACCTTGTGGTTAAGGAAGCTGGATCCCACATAGCTGACTAGGATTCGAATCCCAGCCTTGGTGGCTTGAGAAAGACACCGTGTGTGTGCGTGCATGTGTATGCCCCAAAATCCCAACAGGATGGAGAAATGGAAGAGAAGGGACCAAGGTGAGACTGTGCCCCATTCAGGGCTACCTTTTCCCCTTCTCTCTGTCTCTCTGTCTCTCTGTGGCAAACACATGCACCCCCTGGGGAGGGGGGAATACACGGTTATTTTGATGCAAACAATTTCAAAATCCATGCATAGTTATTTTTGTAATAAGCATTTTCCATGAACTTGAGGAAGACCTCTCTTATTTAGAGATACCAGCCTCAAAGAGAATTAAGTACTGTATAGATACCAGGAATATATTTTGAGGGCCTTTGCTTAGCTTTTAGACCTAATTATTTGAGATTTAGGAACTGTGGCATACTGTCTCATATCTTGAAATGAGGGTACTTTGTTGAGAAATTTGCATTTCACAGTAGAAAGTGTTCTTGGTTTAGTTAGTCTGTATTGAAGGAAATCTTTCATGTGTTTTGTGATTAGAATGTAGAACTCTAGGAACCAGCAGTTAGCGTAATGGCTATGTCGCTGGATTCCCACGTAGTCGACCGCGGTTCGTGTCCCGGACCCGGTGGCTTAAAACTCACGCCGGGTGTGTGTGCGTGCGTGCCCAAGATCCTGAGAGGAGAATGGAGGAGAAGGGATTGCGGCGTGACCATCCCCCCTGGGGGGTGATTTCTCGCTTTCTGTCTCTATGTCTCTCTCTGTCTGTCTGGCGAGCGCACGCGCCCTACAGTGAAAATCTCTCCAAAAAAAAAAAAAAAGAATGTAGAACTCTAACAGTTCTCAATTTAAAAAGCCTATTAGAGATATATGATTACATTGGTTAAAAAATGAGGAATGTCTGGGACCAGCAGTTAGCATAATGGCTATGTCGCTGGACTCCCATGTAGTCGACCAGTGGCTAAAACTCACGCCGGGCTCGTGTGCATGTGTGCCCAAGATCCCGAGAGGAGAATGGAGGAGAAGGGATTGCAGTGTTGCTATCCCCACTGGGGTGTGATTTCTCACTTTCTGTCTCTATCTTTCTGGCAAGCGCACGCACCCTATAGCAGAAACCTCTGCAAACAAAAAAAGAACATCATTTCTCATTGTCATATAATGATAATTTTAAAATTGTAATCATGGTTAGCCGCTAGATAACACACTATAGGTTCTCATTAAGATTCGAATCAGTTGTAATAGTGAATTAAAAGTTTGTTGAATGTTTCCAGTAAAATGACAGGATACTTAATAGTTTTCTATGAGTTAAAATTTTAATATTTAAAAAATGTATTTAAACTTAAAGTCTTAAGACCTAGGGAAAAACATTGCTGACTTAGGTCTGTAACGAACAGAACCACTTCTTTTCAGGTTATTTCAAAGAGCCATATTACCTAGACATTTTCATAAGCCTCTCTCTAACCTCCAGTGGTTGATTTTCATGGAAAATAAAAGAATTAAGCAGTTGTAGAGGAGTTCTAGCATAGACACATGCTTTATTTTCTGAAGTGATTCAAAGTGTATAATTCTGTGATTCACAAGTGAAGGAGCACAAGTCATTCCACATATAGTAGGAGATACCTGAGATATATTTACATAAATGAAGAAGGGGAAATAATGCACGGAGGCTGGCAGGTGGCATGGTGGTTAAGGCCCTGGATTCTCACATTGACCGAGGTTCAAGTCTCAGACCTGGTGGTGTGCTTTCCTACTTTCCTTCTCTCGATCTCTCTCTGGTCAAATTAAAAAGAAACAGTAATAATAATAAAATAATTCTTTAGAAACAAAGAATGTGTTTATTTTGTCATCACTATAGCTACTCAGCTTGTAAAGATGGATTTGAAATGGATTAGATACTCCTTAATGTCCTGTAGAGTCAGGAAACTCGAGTTACAGAAAGGCGTTGTTGTCTGATTTCCATTTGGGCAAAGTCAGACAAACAGAACAGTACTTTGTAGCCTAAAACAATAGCAAAAGACACTGTGGTGGCCTAAATAACTATTAAGGGAAGATAATAATGTCATCTGATAAGGAAATATGTAGCAGGGACAATTAACAAGAAAGGGAGATGTACCCACAAATGAAACAATGTTAACACCGTATTTTTGGTGGAGTTGTTCTATTACTGAGATGGAATATTCTTCTCACTGCTGTACTTGTTCATCACCTAGTTCTGCCATGTTTTGGGTTGTTAATTTGTTTTTAAAGACTTATTTAATGTTATTAGTTATTATTATTTTTTAAATTTTCTATAAGGTACATGTGAGTGTGAGAAACAGAGAGAAAGAGAGAGAGAAAGTGAGAAAGCAAGCTACCAGGTCCAGGACTTGAAACACAGTCGGCCATGTGGGAGTTCAACGCCTCAACCACCATGACACGCCCCAGGGTGAAATTTCGTAATTAACTCATTCACATTTCATCATTTCATTTTGGACTCATTTGCAGGAGTGTTTTCTTTGATGAACTAAACATGAGTACACCACTCGAGTATTCCATCAAAGGACTACCTACAGGGGCCAGCCAGTGGCATGGTGGTTAAGGTGCTAGACTCCCATGTGGTCTGGTTCAAATCCCAGACCTAGCACACCGGATGTGTATGCAGATGTGCCCAGAATCCCAAGAGGAGAATGGAGGAGAAGGAATTTCACCATGGCCATTGCCCCTGGGGGGTGATATCTCACTTTCCCTCTCTCTGTCTCTCCCTAGTGAGCGCACACACTCTATGGCAACAACCTGAAAAAAATTTAAACGACTACCTACAGTGTCCTAAGGATTTGAATGTGAGCCACATATTCAATGCCCAGTACACGAATATGCTCATATACAGTAACACATGTACACAGCATGCAGACACACAGGATAATCACAGAGTCTTCTACTTCACTGCACTGTGCTGTTTTATTTTAATTTTTTAAAAAATATTTTAGTTAACTTTGTTTATTCATTTGTTTTAATTTGACCAGACAGGGACAGAGTCTGAGAGAGAGAGAAAGCGAGCCACCAGGTCCAGGACTAGAACCACATTTGACCATGTGGGAATCCAGCAACCTTAACCACCATGCCATCTGCTGGCCCCACTGCACTGTACTGTTGCTGTGTGACAGTCTGCAGGGCAATATTTATCTGAGTGAAAGATTTGTTTTGGAACTGTTTAGTATTCAGGCTCTATGACAAAGAACAGTTCTAAAAAGATATTAATTTCTTGATTGTTGTATCTCACGGGGCCTCTAGCTCAGAAATATGGTGAGTCACCCAGGAATTCAGCTGGACGCATTGTCTGAAGACAACTAGGAATACACATAGGAATGAAATAGACATCACAGGCACCCTCAGCCCCGTTTCCAACCCTTCCAAACCCTGTAACTTGAACTTTTAGAAACTTCCAGCAACTGTATTCTAGAAAGAGGCAGTGTTACTGATATGAACCCTTCTGTGTTAATTCAGCTGCTGGGAATTTTAGAATAAAATTCAGAGGGATTTGGGGCCAAAAATCTGAGATGCTGCTACTACTATTTTCGAAATTCTGAATCTCAAGTTTTTGTTGAATTTGCTACC